TGATACAATTTATATAAATATAATTTACAGTAATAGTAATATACGTAGTAATTAATTAATATAATAAATAGTTTAATTTATTTTTCTTTATCATCATTTTTATAATTTATGTAGAAAAATTGCGATATATATTATTGTATTGTATAAATACAATGGAATTTCTATATTTTCTAAATTCAATTGGTTACATTAGAATCAGTTTTAGAAATTTTGTCATTCTGTTTAATATTTTTTTATTCTTCCTTTTATCTATTCCTTATTTATTACTTATTTATCTATTTCTTTTATTTCTATTCCTTTCTTCTTCCAAAAAAATCTTATTATAATATCTTAAAAACCATGATGTTAAATTAAATTTTAATATATCTGATTATAAATTTTAAATGGTAAAATTGGGTAATAAAAATTATTTAATTGCTTAATGAAAAATTAAAATAAGTTAAAAAATAATCATAAGTTATTTATATATTTTGCAGAATGAGAGAGAAACAATTAAAAGAAAGAAAGAAAAATTATTGTAATGATAAACTAATTATTTTAAAAAAAAAGTTAAATTTATGATATAAAAAAAATAATCTATTACTATCAACTTATATATAAGTAAATTAATATCTGATATCATAAGGAATAAATGATTTTTTTATGATTTATTTTATAATTTTTTTTTTATCATTTTTTTTTTAATTTTATTAAAATAATTTTACCACTTTATATATATATTATTGATTGGAGTTACATTTTTTGGCATGTTCATTTAAAAATTTAATATTTGTTACCAAAGATATTGCATGATTCATTTTGTTATCTTTTCGATAAAAATAAATTTCTATTTAAATTTTTATTTATTTATTAACTTGTTTGAAGTTGAAAAATCAATTATTCTATTTTTTTATTTTTTTTTTGTAGTTGAAAAAAAATTAATTCTATATTTATCTAATTCGATATTCGTCTGTTCTTTAAAAATAAATTAATTAGAACTACCAAACAAATTAAATTGATTGGTTATATTTTTTTGTTTCCGCAATTATAAAATTAGAATTATAAATAGTATAATATATACTTTTTAACTAAATTAATATTTTTTTATTCAAATAGAAATATAACTGTACATATATATAGTAGTATATGTAATTATTTTCATAATAATATAATTTTATATATGTAGATATGTATATTTATATTTATATGTGTATTATAAGATGATAATTTTGATATTAATGATGAGTATAAAAATTCTATTAAATTTGTATCATGGATAAGAGAATCTTTTCGTTACAATAATTTTCCAATCAATGATATTAATTAATTAATAAGTTATAAATTATTAAATTATAAATTGTAGGTTATATATACAGTAATATATATTATGTATATATAATATGTCGAAAATCTTATACAAAATTGTATTGATACTATTCATTCACATTTCGTAATCAATTTTACAAATGAGAAATATGATTTGATATTTATTTTTGCATTATATAATATTTACATTATATCAAAAATACAAATCAATTTTTTCACCAAATTGCAAAGTTTGTTAATGAAGAAAATGAAATCAAGTAAATATAAATTATAAATAAAATTATAAAATTTTATAACTTACAATTTATAATCTATTTGTTAATTTAATATTGTTGATTCATAAATTATTTTACAAATACAAAAGAATCTTATTTATCCAACTATTTATGATCGATGTTTAATCTTTTTTCTTAATCTCTTCTCTTATATAAAAACATTACAACAAAATTTTGATTGATATTGTTGATTCATAAATTATTTTACAAATACAAAAGAATCTTATTTATCCAACTATTTATGATCGATGTTTAATCTTTTTTCTTAATCTCTTCTCTTATATAAAAACATTACAACAAAATTCTTGAAAATTACTTTTCAAAAATATTTCTTAAAAGTGCTCTGAGAATGAAAATTATTTTTAATTATTCTGAATATCAACTTATGCAAAATATTAAACTTTCTTAAATATATATTTGCTCTTATATCAAAATATATATTACATCTGTTATTATCGTTATAATTTATTATTATAAAAAAATTTGAAATATTTTAGCATATTAATGAAAATTTAGCGAAGAAAGTTAATGGGTTAAATATGAACATCGATTAATGCAGCCTTTCGGAGTATTTTATTCTTGGAAGAGACACCAATATTTCTTTTATAAAAGGACTGTTTGACTTGTAATTACAGGGGACAAGAGGGATGTCAAAGGAACATTTTGGCAGCTGAATTAAATGAGAAAGATCAAAGATTTATCGAAGAAATCATTCGACGAATAAATGGGAAAAGTAAGCAGAAACCAAAATCAAAAAGTTGCTGTTCGGAGAAAACAGCACATTGTTGCTCTCATCAATCTACTCCTCGTGAGAAGACTTCAAGATCCGCAAAAGATCAGACAGGTTATTCGAAAGAAATGAAACGGTAATGGTGACTTTATATAAAAGTCTTTTACAACGTCTTTTCAAAATCTTTTATTGAAAATGAAAAATCATAAATTTGTACATATAAAAAAAAATTTTTAAGGACAAACTAAGTTTTAATTTCGTTAAATAATTATTTTTTATTATTTTAATCACCATTTAATCATACAATATGTATACACACCTTTACGAAAAATATTTATGAAAAAAAGAATTACTTTTCTAATATGTATAATAGTACATATGATAATACATATATTTATATTTTCTATATTATCGACTGTTGAAATATTACTATTGATTAATTAAAAACAAATCTTTAAAATAATTTTAAAAATATTGAAAATTATAATATTTAAATATTTAAATTAAATTTTTTTTCATAGATTATATATTTGCATAATTTTTTTTTCATGTCTGACTGATGCTACGTGATAAAATTTGAACAATGTATGCATGACTTTATCAATTTTTGATTCATGTGTTTTTTGATCATATCTAACTAACATCATGTTATAAACGATTTTTTATCTTTAAATTTTATTTTTAAATTTTATTTTTACATATCCTTTCATTTTGATTTTTAGATGTTTATTTCAGACGTTTTGCAATATTATATTGATGACAAGATTTTTACTTCAAAAGTAATTTATAGGATATCGATTTAATTAACAGTATAGATTTCCACTTTTTTTATTCTTTAGTTTGTTTAATTTCGGTTGTTATAATAAAATATAATAGAAGAAAATTCTTTATATGATGATAGAGAAAACTTTATATATCAAAATAAAGATCAAGAATCATTGGTACAGATTAAATATCTTTTATATTTGCATCTGTGATTCTTGTGTGATGAATAATATTATTTTTTGTTTATTTTATATCTATTGCTTATTACTAAGTCGATAATATAGAAATCCTTATAACTAAATCAAAATATCAAAGACCGATAATAAATATTAATTCAACACAGAATATATTTTTTGCAATTGCAATGCTTTTTCTTAGGAATTTAGGGATCACTGTAGATATGTGCATATAAAATATATTTACATGTAAAAATTAATTTTTTACAAATTTATTTTTTTAAATATTTAACTTGTGGCGCTATCTTTTGTGATCAAACTTGTCACACATTATTACCAACAGAAAAGAATTTGAGTATGCTCTTTAACTATCATCTCTTGTTTAAATGTTAAACTTTTTTTATATATAATCATCGATAGTGAATTCAATAAATCCAATATTTTATAAAACTTTATATTCTAAACATTGATCACATAAAAATTCATGGTATTTTAAGTTTTTACATTTTTTTATGACTTACTATGACTATCGTAGAAATTATACGAATTATCAAATATAAAATAAATAAATAGTTAACGAAATTTTCATTTATTAAAAATTTGAAATATTAAAAATAATGTTCAAATAATATTAAAATATTAAAAATAATGTACTCTACAATTAAAGAAAATACAATACGAAAATTAATATTTTATATTGTTTTTTAATATAATTATACAATGAAGTTCAAATAATTGCTCTCAATACTTTATTACTCAGAATATAATATTATTTATAATAGTTTTAACAAATTTTTTAAAAGTAAAGTAATATCATTTCATTCAAAACATTTTATTACAATTTAATATTAATAATTATAAATTTTATATTCAAAATATAAACCATCCAAATAATAACCATCATATACAAATGTATAGCAATTATGCAATAAATTTTCAAAATTATTTATTTAGTGTTTTTTATAATTCACCCTTTTTTTACTTTTTATATTTATCTTTTATATTTATTTTTTGTTATCATTTATGCTGCTGCTAATAAATAATTACTCGATATTTCCTTGATGGAAGAAATATTTAGAATCATTTCTTCTATATATGCATAAATTTCATTCAATGTAATAAAACGTTCATTTTCATAATAAAATCGAAATATCAAAATGTTGATCCTTTTTTATAGTATTTTTTACCTATTTTATTTTTTAAAAAAAAATTCAAAACTCTAAGACAAATGTGTAAATCATCAATTTTATTATTTTAAAATTTTTTTTAAAGGAAAAGAATAGAAAAATTTTAAAAGAACATTAATTTTATCATTAATAATACTATTTTGTATTATTATATTCCTTACAAGATATGTATGTGTAAAGCACATTAAATAAATAAGAATGAACACAAAAGATATTGAATAAAATTGATTTTGTTTCTTATCAGAAGTCAAATGTGATTATCAAAATTTTTAATTGAAAATTAATAATAATATTTTGATTATTATCTTTCTTATCTCAAAAAAATAATTATAAAATGAAGTATAAATTATTATAATTATTATTCATTTATATATTTTTATATATTTTTGCATAAAACAAAAATCCAATACTTTTATTATTCTCTTATGTACAAGAAGAAAACCTTTATAAATTAACATGTTAATTGGCAACTATTTGCTTGAACTCCTTTATAAATTCCTTAATGATAATGAATTTATGTTTTTCACTATTTACTTTTACTATACGTATATATATTCTTATTCATAATTTTTATTAAATATTTAAAAAAATATATTTCCTAATAATTATAAATAAATTCTTCAGTTTTTTTTTCCTCTATGGCACTTTGTGATTTGTATAATTTTTTTAAATCAGAAATAGTACTTTTATTGCTATTTAATTCTGGAGGTCGTCCTATCCTTTGAGTTTCTACAAATAATTTGTTTTTTTCGCTTGAAATATTTTCCACAGACGCTTGATCCTCGGTTGATTTTGTCATTTCTTTGCTCCACTTTGTTAACCATTCATTGCCTATAGTCTAAAAGAAACAAATGATACGATCATTATATTTTGCTTTTGGTTTTTTTTTTTCAATTTTCAAAATTATATCTTGTCAAGAATGAGGGAAAAGAAAGAATTATTTGAATTTACTTTCTTATTATCGTTCTCCGATGCAATCACCTTTAACTTCTTCTCCATCGTATCTAATTTTTCCAATTCTTTCCGCAATTTACGTTCCAATTGATATTTAGCCACCGCTTGAGCTAGTGGACCCAAGTCTCCTTTCACTGCTGCACTGAGCATCGCCTGTATGAAGATAAATAATTATGACAAATGGATTATATATTTAAAGATAAAATAATTATTTAATTATTAAAAATTAATCAAATAAAGTAATTATTAAGTAATCAAGAAAATTTTGTTAGTTTTTTGCAATGGAAAAGGAAAATTAAATGTAATAAATATGCACAAAGTATATAATTCGAAATATTTCTATTATAAATTTCTATCCAACTTTAAATTTCACCAATTATTTATAGAATAATATTGCAGGTTTCATAAACGATTTTTTATTTTATATTATATTTTATATTATATTATTTATTATATTTTTTATCATAAAAAAAAATAACAAAAGTTTCTTAGTTACGTAATGTAATTATGTGATGGCTCATAAAAATATTATCTTATAAAAAAATTGACTCAAAAAAAATTTTGATTTTAATGAGAACATAATAAATGTAAATATATGAAAAAATTTTTTTCCAATGAAAACTTTTTTTCAGCAGTTAAATTTAAAATAAATTTTTAAAGTTCTAGTATCTTTTCATGTTTTGAATAAAATTTTGTCTGAACGAAATAAAATAATAGAAGATTGAATTTGAACATCATATAATTTAAAATTTTATCCTAAGTCAATATTTCAGAATTATGCAGAATTTTAAAAAATAAAAAAAAAGTTTTTGAGCGTTGATTTCATTTTTGTTAAATAATATTCATATAAAAAAATTGCTTCACATATAATACAAAATTTCATTAAAAATAAAAAATGATTCACTAAAATAGTATTAAAAAAATGTTCAAATATTTTCATGAGCCATTCTATGAATACGTATGAATAAAAAAAAAACACCTTACCAATTTTAATGATATTAAAATGTATTGTTAGCGAAAATTGATGAACGTTGATTTTCATTTCATTGATGTTTTTGACATTATGTCAATTTGACAGATGAGGAACACATTAAGTTGCGAAAATGAAGAATGGATTAAATATAATTATTAAAAATGAAGAATTAAGTATATATAATTATCGATAATTACCAATTATTTATTAAAAAAATACTCACATCTCGACGTCTTTTAGTATCTGTATTACCAATGGGTTCAGTTTCCATTTGTGGTCCTAATTCAAATAACATTTGAAAATCTGCATGTTCGCCAAGCCGGAAACCAATGCCTATCCGCGAATCGGTACCTATTGGCATAAATAAAAACAATTTTAATTAACCAAGTTTACAATTTGTATTAAATTGCAATTATATACAGTATATTAATACTTATATTCGCATTGAATTCAATTTTAGAAAATCGATTCTAGATGTCAAAGTAAAAATTAATATACAAAAATATTAATTAAATCTTATTTATTTAAATTATAAACAATTTAAATTCACGATTATTTAAATGAAATCACTTTGTTTCTCATTTATATTCATATAATATAATCATATTTCATATAATATAACTGATTATAATTTAATAAATAAATTTCAATAAACATCTTTTTATATGTTTAGTATCTATAATCAATCATCGTATCACGAATATTATATTAATATTGTATATATATGTATATTTCTCTCTTTAATTAAAATGTTTTATTTATTATTTTTTTATTTTAATATTTTAAACTATATTGAAATATTTGAATATTTTCAAATAAATATTTTTAAATATTTTCAATATTTCAATATTTTAATTTTCAATATTTCTATATTTTTTATCTTTTCAGTAAAAGAAGATTCTAAACATTGTAGAAATATAAAATTTGTTTTTCTTAATAAATGCAAAGAAAATAGAAATTCTTGAATGTTTTAGAATATTAAATAAGATACTTTTAATAAAATCTAGAGAGAGTATAGAGATAAGCTTGAAAAAGCGAAACACGACTAGTCAGTGAAAGTGGTACGTATTCGCGTGACGACGATAAAACATTCTTGATGTAAATCATGCCTGAGAATGTTTTATTTTCATTTGTATTTGAAAATAGCTAGACATGAGCAAGTTGTAACTTAATCTCGTTACCTTTCTTGATTGGTGGAATGTTGGAATAGATCAATGAAAGTATTGTTGGCAATTCTTCCGGGATAACAAGACATGTTGCACCTGAAACAATTAAATAATGTTTCTATTATTATATAATTATGTCTATTATTATGTTATTATTTATTATTTAATTTTATTTTTATCTTATTTATTATTTATTATTTAATCTTATTTTTCAATGAAGATTTTTACCATATTATCAATCTTTATATAATAATCATTATTAATAATTTCATAATAATTATTTTGGAACGAATCTTTTCTTTAATTATTTATTAATTAATTTTTGTCTTTTTTTTAAAAATTTATAATACTAAACTGAAAAAATAGATCGAATTTGAAATTTATATGCTTTTAATCATATTGAAACTTATGTATTTAATTTAATATGTACTTATAATTTTTTTAAATGGAATATACCTAGTTAATTCTCATAATTTTTGCTTGCTTGTTGCGAAGTTATTTCTCTTTAATTGAAACTAAAATTCAATTTTTTAAAGCACACATCTAATTCTAGAAAATCAAGATACACTTCAAAAAAGAAAACATTAATGCTGTTTTCTATGTTATTGAAAAATGCTTTTTCTATCTTTTTTTACTAGTAAAACTTTCTTTTCTAAAAGAAACCGTTAATTATAAAAATAAATATAAATTTTTCAAAATATCTATATCCCCACATTACTGTCACTTTTGTAAGTAATGAATTTGAATTAAGTTAAATATTATTTTCTAAGCTAATATAAATATAAGCTATAATTAAATATAATAATAATATAAATTTCTTTGTAAAAATTTTTTGTTTTTTATTTTTTTTTCAAAATCCAATTTCCAAAGTTTTTTATTTTTCTCGTTATGTGCTATAACAAAATATTTAAAAAAAATTTAATTAAAATCTATGAGGTACATTGACATATTTAAATATTTATTGCAAATATATTCTATTACTTTTGTATTTTTTTATAAATATTTATAGATATTTTTTCCTGTAGATTATAATTAATAATTTATGAGAAACAATTTTTTTATTTTCTGTTGAAAATAGGCGAAGGACGGAATATATGTAATGTATAATCATCACTTACATTCATAAAGAAGCATCAGGATACACAATTTCACTAATACGCTTGTCGTGTTCGACATTTTTCCATCAAATAGACCTACACACATGGAAATTGCACGATTTTCATTCTGTAAATCTTTCACTTTTGATTGAAATCTTCAATTATCGATTATGCTTTCTTAAATCTTATTTAGGGATAAAATAAATTATAACATTATAAATGACAGTAATTATTTTAATAATCGCAATCAATTATTTTCATAATATTCTTGAAATTAATTAATTGTAATAATTAATATTATATACAATTCGGCAATTCGAGATTTTTATTTGCATTCGTAATTTTAATTTTTTTTTATGAAATCATATTTTTGTAATTTTATTGATAAAAAAAACACTAATTAATTAAAATATATATAAATACATATATATATATATAAAATAAATAAATTAATTTAAAATCGATAAATGAATCGATATTGTAAATTTAAATGTATTATATTAAATGTATAAATTTAAATCTCTTTTATTTTTATTTCATCACTTATCACTTATCACTTATTTTCACTCAGTACATTTTTTTTCTTGTCACCTATGGATTAAAAAATGTCAATAAAATATGGAAGTGAATTCGAATTACCAAATTTAAAAAAGCTTTAATAACTTATACGATTAAAAATTTTATACTATTTCTATAATTAATCTCGAACTGATTAAATTTAAGAAGAAATTATTATTGGCCCATAAACAATATGAGTTTTAATACTATAGATTTAGTTACTCACAGATTTTTTTCTAACAAATTTCATAATGTTTAATGGTTATAAATCATAAATTATATTTAACATATATGCACGATAATATATTTTCTTTTTCTCATACTTTGCTTAATCAATCTATATTTGCTTAAACTAATTTTCTAATTCATTTTTTATACTTATTTTATTATAAGAAAATTATACAGTGAATACACAATTTTACATTGACTCTCAACTTATGCCGAAAATTAATATTTTTAACTTCGCATTGTTTGAGGGCCATCTGTAATTGATTTGGTGAACTTTTTTATTATCAACATTAAAACAACACTGATGGTAATCTTTTCTTTCTTAAAATTCAAACGAAATCATATATTAGAAATTTTTCATAGAAATTCCACAAGCAATGTTAATCAAATGGAAATTAAAAAATTTCGTATCTTTTTCCGAACACACTATCACATAATGAAAATCAATATAGGAAAGAAAGTGATCGAATAACGATCTAAACGTTCCGAAGATGCAAGATCTCGACTCACTGATTCTCGATCGATCTCGACGAGTGCGAAAATGATCACCAACTAAACGTATATCTGTGGCTTTTAGTACTTACATGAAAGTGAAATCTAAACGTCTGGCAGGTAACGGGACTTTGAGCCGAGCTATGGCACGTCGCGCGCGCGATCGAATGCAATCGCGTTTCTCGACAGTCGGTGCGAGAAAGAGCTCTCGAAAAAAGTGTTCAAGTGAAAGGAGATGTCGGATTGGGGATCGAGGTCAAAGAGACTCAATAGATCGAGGATGAACTCTCTCTACGTTTCCTTGTTATCCCCCTCCATTTAAAAATATTTGAATAGTAATAAATATTATATTTTAATATAGATAGAAACAATTGGAAACAAAATATGATTTATATAAATAATATATTTATGAAAGATCTTTGGAAGATTTCGATTCTAAAGATCGAAATTTTATATGAAAATATCGATTAAAATTTGTTTATTAAGTTATAAACAATTTAATTTTGGATTAAAAATGTTTGTCTGTAGATAAGGAAACTGTGCAATATTAGCTGTGCATATATTGCATTGTTATTTAAAGTCCTTTTAACGGAATTTAAAAAAACAATGTATTCATATTATTTTACATTAAAGAGGGAAAAAATTAAAAATAAGAACAAATATTAGAAAACTAAAATAATTTTATAAATAAATATTATTATTATTAGAATTATGTAGAAAATATATTATATTTTTATAATTTAAATTATTTTAATATTTATTTTAAAATAATATTTATATGATTTGACATTAAAATATCTTATTTATATA